ACATTTCTGCTTTTTTTTTAATCAATAAAGGAATATGTTCTAGGAGCAGTGCTCATAACCATCGCCTCACCCTAGAGGGATCTTGCAGGGTCTGAGGAAGGGTCTGCAGCTCCCGGGCTTCCTCTGTGCCAAGGCAGCAGAGCTTCCTTCACACTCGCCCTCACTCTGGACATGAGAGCTGTTTATACCAACTCAAGTACAAGCTATGTGATGTCAAACAGAGCTTGTGGTTTTATCAATGTGTCTTTTGCATGAATTCTGAAGGGAAGGCATCCTTTGTAAATTCGCAGATGTGTGCCTCCTCACTTCCTTCATAGTGAAAAACACTCTAGGGTCAGAGACAGGCTAGCTACTGACAAGGGATTAAAAGGTTGTCTCTAACAGCAGGCAATAAGGAGGAAATGTCCAACACTCTGCTTCAACTACACAGGCCTGCACAAGCCAGGTAGTTTCCTTGGGATTTGATTTTGTTAATTCACTAGTTTTTGCAGATTTAAATTTGATTTTTTAGTAATACTATATTTAGATTTTATAGTGTCTTTGTCAGTTTTTGGAAAATCTGTTTTTAGATAATCCACATAATCTATACCTTAAGACATTTTAAAATATGTGTATATACTTTTCTAAAGATTTCTTTATTTTTATTAGAAAGTCAGATTTATAGAGAAGGATAGAAATAAAGATTTCCCATTCAATGGTTCATTCTCCAAGTTGCTGCAACAGTGATCCAAAGCCAGAAACCAGGAGTTTCCTCCAGGTCTCCCACACAGGTGTGGGGCTCCAAGTTCTTGGACCTTCCTCCACTGCTTTCCCAGGCTACAAGCAGGCAGCTGTATGGGAAGTGGAGCATCTGGGACATGAACTGGCACTATGTGGGATCTCGGCTCATGCAAATCACAGGACTTCAGCCAATAGACTACTGTGCCAGGCCTACATAAATGCTTTTCTTTTTTTTCTTTCTTTCTTTCTTTCTTTCTTTCTTTCTTTCTTTCTTTCTTTCTTTCTTTCTTTCTTTCTTTCTTTCCCTCTCTCTTTCTTTCTTTCTCTCTCTCTTTCTTTCTCTCTTTCTTCTTTCTGTCAGATTTACTTATTTATTTGCCTTTTGAAAGAGCAGTTAAGCGAAAAAAGAGGGAAAGAGGTCTTCCATTTAGTTGTTCACTTCCCAGATGCTGTCAAGTGTCAGGACTAATCCAGATGCCATCCAGGAAGGGACTTCAACCAGGTCTTCTGTGTGGGTCACAGGGACCATCTTCCACTGTTTTCTCTGACCATTACCCAGGATATCTTTTCAAAGACAGTACTCATACATGGCATGATTGTGTAAATAAAAATCATTAAATTTTTCACCACATCATTTGTGTGGAAGTTTCAAAAAGAATCTCAATTGCTATTTGTTTAAAATTTCCTCCCACCACCCCTAGGTTATACCTAGGGAAATGTTACATTACTGGAAGAAAAGTAACTAACTCCGCCCTGTTCAATGCCAAAACTGTGTAAAATACACCACTATACCTTCAGGGTTTTCTGTGTTTTTTTTTTTTAAGATTTATTTATTTCTATTGCAAAGTCAGACATACAGAGAGGAGGAGGAGAGACAGAGAGGAAGATCTTCCGCCCGATGATTCACTCCCCAAGTGGGTACAATGGCCTATGCTATGCCGATCCAAAGCCAGGAGCCAGGAACCTCTTCCGGGTCTCCAACACGAGTGCAGGGTCCCAAATCTTTGGGCCATCCTTGATTGCTTTCCCAGGCCACAAGTAGGGAGCTGGATGGGAAGTGGGGGTGCTAGAATTAGAACCTGTGCCCATATAGGATCCCAGTGCGTGCAAGATGAGGACTTTAGCCACTAGGCCACGGCGCCTGGCCCGTCCATTCTTTTTTTAAAGATATATGGGGAATTATTGTGCATGGAAATGGGGGATTCAAGGGTGTGATACATGCCATCCCAGCCCCCTGGTGTAAAATTTGGTCTCAAATGGAGTTACTTTGGTTCAGCCAGCATAAGCTTACTAAACTTCTCTTGATGCTTCTATACAAAAATGCTTTGCCTTTTTCTACTTTTTTGGGTCAGATCACTTGACTAACATGCCCTGCTAGAAAACTTTGGCTCCAGGAATCAATATTATGTGATTTCTTCACCAATTGTTCCCGTGACTACCTCCTGTGCCTGCTCAATCCCACACATTGTCCCCATGGTGGCCTCCTGTGATTGCTATAGCTTACCCATTGTCCACCCATTGTTCCCATGACAATCTCCTGTGCCTGCTCAATCCCAGTAATTGTCTATTGGCAGCCTCCTGGGTTGCTGTAGCTTATATATTGTCCACCCGTTGTCCCCAGGGCAGCCTCCTGTGATTGCCTAACCACCTGGTTCCAACAGCTGTATTACTCTCCTTCTATAAAAAAAAACACATTTAAATCTCACTCTCTGAAGGAAAGGATAGCTGACCCACACCTTTGGTTGCTTTACCTGCATCCTCAATAAACTTACCTGCTTAGTAGACTTGTCTGGGCTATACTTCTTGGGGAGAGGCTCTGGGAGTATACAACAAAGGTACATCACCTGCTGCACACTGCAACAGAGTTGGCAGGAGTGGGAAAAGGGGAAGATGGTGTTGCTGCAGATTGTCTAGGGAAGAAGGTCTGGGATCCCCAAGGCCACATTTGACAGGTGAGGAGTGACTTATGGCTGCTTCCCTGCATCAGGTCATTGTGATTGCTAGTAAGCAAGGGAGATTGGACAGGGTGATCTATAAGCTGGAAACCAAAGAACATGTCTGGGTAAAGTTGAAACACCCACCAACATGGCAGACCTGGGCTGGGCTAAGCATCATTACCTGTCACTCACCAGTGCAATGAGAAAGCTGGGGCTGGGAGGCATGCTTGCCTACACCGGGCTAGACGAACTGCCCAGAAGTGATGGTACAGTGGATGAACCAAGTCTGGCTGGCCTGAAGCACCCATTATGATAGCCAGGGAACCAGTTCTGGAGATGGATTCTTTAGAGGCATATTCTGATCTCACCCACGTGGGACTGCAGTATGTACCTACCTGCTTACATGAGAGCTGGAGGTGGTGATGGGCTGAGACAGTCTAGATAGCAGAACACATCAACATTAATGGGAGCCTGGCACTGGTGGAGGGCTAGGTTTGGCCAATCTCTAGAACCTCCTTCCCTTTCCCAGCACATGCAAAAGCTGGGGCAGAGCAAATCATGCCAAACAGAGCTGTAGTACTCACTAACATGCACAAGAGCCAGGGTTGGGAGCAGGCCTGGTAGGGGAACTTTGGGAACTCCCCTGCTAGGCTGCTGCTTCCACTTGTGAATGTGACAACTGGTATTGGGGATAGGCAGATCTGGTCAGAGCTATAGCACTTGTTGGTTGATATGGGCTGGTTCTGGAGGCGAACCAGGCCAGCTTTGGGCCTCATACATACAGAAAACTGAGTGATGGATGGGCTTGTTGGGGGTAGTTGGGAGTCATCTTGATGGAGCTGAGGCACCCACTGATATGCATGAGGACTAGGACTATGGTGGAATGGGCTAGGCTGGGCTATGCCGCAGCACCTATCATTTCACATGAGATGGGGCAGGAGAAGATCTGATTGGGCAGATACATCCACCTATATGTGTGTTGGTTGGTACAACTGGTGGACCCTGCACTAGCTGAAACACATAGGTCAGGTCTGGGGTCACCTGTAGCCATATTTCTTGGGGGGACTCTCCACTTCGATTTCTGGACTCAAATCCAAGCCACAGCGAAAATCACAATATACATTGTCCAACATTGGAGTGCACATATCGAGGCTGTGCCTCCTCAACTGCTTATACCTGTGCAGTAGACATCATACCCAGATGCCTTAGGAGTCATGACAGGCAGTTTATCTAAGCCAGCAGGGCACAATACCTGCCATTCAGAAAAGAATAGACCGTTCTCCTGGCCAAGCTTTGCAGCAAGTGTTTTCGTCTGTAGATGCAATAAGTTAATAGATCTTGGAAAGGTTTGCTCAACCCTGCAGCAATGAAACTGGCAATATCTCAGAAGTATCAATACACTCAAGTAATACCCTCAAAGCATTCTCTGCAAACCAGAGTCTCTGAAGCATCATAAAAGATTATTCCATATTCTCAGATACTGATGCAAATTCACAGCCAGAAGGAAAAAAAAGAAAAAAAGAACTGAAACAGTTGTCCCATTCTTCCATCTTCTATGCCTTGATCTCCCTTACCCTAATTTGAGGTCCACATGGACATGCATCCCTTTCAAATAGGCAAATACTTCTAAAAACAAGATTTAAAAAAAATTAAAAAGGAATGACTCACGGAAAATTTTGAAAACATAAAATAAAATTTCATTCTCCCTTTGGGTCATGCACTGCCACACATATGGTGTCTCTCAGAAATATGCAAGTCATCTTTCCTGCTTTTCTGTATAAACAGAGGCACATCAATGAGTGATTTTGTGATTTGATCTGTAAATGCTTGTGCATGTTGGTACATGGAGAAATTTCCATCCCGCTAAAGTCACTCCACTCTGTGATGTAGCCGGATGCACTGGACCCAGTCTCATCCTGATGGGTGTGTGTGCTGCTGCTGGTTATTATTTAAAATGACACTGACCCTGAATACATGCATCACTTCTCATGTGAGAATAGACATAATTCTTTTTTTCTAAACAAAACAAGATTTCTGACTCAAAGCATACATATATTCCTAATTTTATTGCCTGCTTAGTGATTATAATGATTAACTGAAAGCACATCCTTCTTGCAGTCACACTTTCATGAATGTCTGAAATTTCCTATCCAAGTTTTTCTCTGATCAGATCTGATTTTGTCTTGTGCTTGCATGCAAGGACACTATTTTTATAACCTTTTTAACTTGTGTAACACAGAGGTTTTGGTGTATTAAAAAATCATGAAGTGATAATTTTGTTACTGTGGAACTTATTATGGAAAGTATTTTCCTGAATTCTCAGTGAATAAACCAGCATTTCACCTGTTTGGCATTCCTGCTGATCAGGATAAAGGGGCTGAGGCTGGTATAACCAATTTCAAGAAGTATTTTAGTATTTAATGTTGCTGATTCTTCTGACAATGTGATTCCTATGTAGAAGGATAAAATGAAATCTGTCCAATAGAAGAACAGAAAACAGGTCATGAGGATGAGAGTACTCTGAGTGGCTCGGATCTCTGGGCTGGGATATTTGGCAAACCTGGATCTCTGAAGGTAGAGGACATGCTTGTGATGTTTGTACAAATAGAGAGCCATGTACCCACTGCTGCAACCCATGAGACTCTGAAAGGTGAGGTCCCGGAGAGTCATGAGGCAGAGGAAGAGCCATCTGACCATTTGTGGAGCTGGCAGCATATAACATAATCCAATGTATGTTCTAAATCGAGACTCATTCGTGCTGTTGATTGCTGTGATGTAGTGGAGCAAGTTAGAACTTATGAGAAAGCTAAAGACCCAGAAGAGAAGGAGGTAGGGAAGAACCTGCCATGCAGAGAGTGGTTTGAACCTTCTCCACAAGTTGTTCATGGGACTGATGGTGATGGCCTGGACTACACTGAGGAAGCAGGTGGTGCAAATGGAGAGACTTCGAGCCACCCTGTTGAGGTAAATCACAATTTTACAAATAATATTGCCTAGGAAGTTACTGAGAAGAAAAGCTGATAATGTAACTGAGATTACTCTGGCACAAAGTGTCATAATGTTACTTAAAGCCAGGTGGATGAGAATAGCATCTGTAGCCTTTTTCCCAGGAGCTATGACAATCATGTGCACATGTTTCACAAGCAGAAACAAATACCCCATTACCCTCTAATGGAAATCACTCTCTCTCTCTCTCTCTCTCTCTCTCTCTCTCTCTCTCTCTCTCTCTCCCTCTCTCTCCTCCTTGCCAGATATCCTGAGTGAATTATTTCTGACATTGAAGACCTTGTTGCCTTCTGCCTGATATCTGGGTTACTGGAGGAAATGGATACATTTCTAAGCTGGAACTGCATGTCAGCCCCACTTGTATTTACAGTTCTTGGCCTGTAACTCCCTCTATATTCATGCCAATCCAAGTCTCATATTCAGAATCTGTTCAAGGCCACCTAGACAGTACCTACAGCCTGTTGGTACTCTCTCTGAACATTGTCTCGTCTTGCCACCTTCTCACTCAGAAATGCTATCTTAATGTCTATGTTATGATTGGTGAAATATTTTTCACTCTCACTCCAGGTTTTTCCATCTGTTTGTTGCCTTAGTGAGATTCAAAACAGAAATCAGATTATTTGAACTGATATCTCATGAATTCTCTCCCCATTAGTTCAAGCACATTTCTACTGTTTTCATCTTAAATTGTCATCTGCAATCTCCTTACTTTCATATCCAATGTGCATTGCACTACTAAAGTGCACTGAATACTTTCAATGAATTATATATAAGCATTCACCTCAGCATGGGGGCATGGACATATTTTTTACCAAACTTCTCTCACCTGTTGCCACAGACTTTTTGCACAACTGACACCTGTCTGTCAACAAGATAGCTATAGGCTTTTAAGAGTAGAAGTAGTTATGAGAATTTTTTTTTCCTGATTTAGTCACAGGGAGGAGTGAAGAGGGTCTCTTGTCATAATTGCAAGTATAGGAGTGCAAGAGCCATGTTGCACAAGATGCTGGTCAGGCCATTTGCACCTGAGGAAATAGATGTATCTAGAGGGAAATGCACTCACCATGCTAAGGGTCCACACTGTGGCACTCTAGCGCAGCAGGGACCTTGGGGTCCACTGTGCTGACTGCATCCCTGGTGAGGGTCCACTGCCTATATCCTGTGCAGGCTTCAAAAGTGGCCTTGGGCCAAGCAGCATAGCCTAGCTGCTAAGGCCCTCGCCTTGAATGCGCCAGGATTCCATATGGGTGCTGGTTATAATCCCTGCAGCTCCACTTCCCATCCAGCTCCCTGCTTGTGGCATGGAAAGCAGTTGAGGACGGCCCAATGTTTTGGGACCCTGCACCCGCGTGGGAGACCTGGAACAAATTCCTGGCTCCTGGCTTTGGATTGGCACATCACCAGCCATTGTGCTCACATTGGGAGTGAATCTTGGGATGAAGATCTTCCTCTGTGTATATCTAACTTTGTAATAAAAATAATAAATTTTTTTTTTAAAAAAATGTCATCTTGCTGAGTGAGAGAGAAGACATGCCTGGAGGGAACTGCAGCTGCAAGCAAGCAGCAAGCATGTCAGAGAAGACCTTGAAAACTGCCTGAGAGACTCAGCTGTGCCTAACAGCATCCTGTCTTTCCAGCTGCAGTGAGGCAAGGGAAGAGGAAAGCAGGCCACATGCCTCACTTGGATTAAAATTTCAGGCTCTGTCTGTAACAGCAGAACATGTGCTTCTGATCTGAAGGGCTTTTGGTTTAAACTGTCTGAAGGCCATTAGACCATTCAGCTTTTAAAGTAATCATCAAGCATCTGTTTCAGTTGGAAACCAAGCAAACATATTTGACAATACAAATAAGACTCTTCATAAATACAACCCCAAGATTTGTCATTTCAAATGTATGAGTTTTTCCAAGGATTTTCCTCCTGGTAAGGCTGAGAGCCCAGGCCCCTTGAGATCCTGAGAAAGTAACTAATGTCAGTGATGTCAGTGCAGCACCCTTGGCTGAGCCTGGTTTTGCAGATTTGGTCTGGCTGGTGCCTGTTCCTTCATCTGGGGCCCTGTGCTTCCTCCCCTTGGGCTCTGTTGGGCTCTGCTTCTGCATCTTTAGATGAATGAAACATGAGCCAAAGTTGCATCTTCTATACTATCTTCCTCCTCATAGGGTCCATAAATGCTTTAAAATTGGAAACTCACAGCAATAACGTCTGGATGGCGTGACAGTGCAGAGTGTCAGAAAACTGGATTACAATGAGCCACTCTGAAGATCAGTGCCTAGCCTCGCGAATGTCTGTCTGCACATTGTCTCTATGAGACCAAACATTGTTAAAATTGGGAAGTGTTTTGTCCTGGATTAGTCTGCAGTGAGGAGCAAGGGCATGTGTTAAGGGTGTTTTTGTCTGTGTTTCATGACATCGAAGAATTATACTGTGTTTTCAGTATGTAATTTAAAGGAATGACAAAAAAATGAATGTCAAAAATCCTGGGATACCAAATAAAGTTAAAGGATCCCATGCTGAAGCAACAGAAGGGCACTAGGACACCCAAAATAAAAGACAAATAAAGTGAAAATAAAATCACAACAAAAGTCCCTAAGCTGCAAAGTGCACAAAAGCCGTGAGTCTGTTGGAGCAGGAACCCCCACGCAGGCTGACAGCCCACTGCTGGCTCCCTCCCGGCTTCCCTCACATCTGGGAATTGGAGCAGCCTCAAGCTGGGGGAATCAATGGCTCCGCTGCACACAGTCCCCCTCCAAAGCCACACAAACAGTTGATGCGGCATGCATTGGGAAGTGATAGCCACCCTCTCCCTGGCTGCTTTTGCATTCCTTATTCAAGAGAAGAGGAAAAATCTGAGATGCTGCCCTCTCCCTACCTGGTCCTGAATAGACCTGTCTGGAACAATGTCTCTTCCAGAGCAAAGGCAGCTACCCCAGCACACACACATACTCAGTCTCACTCACCTGAGCAGTCTGCAAGACTGGCAGGAGCTGTGGCAGAGACGCACAGCCAGAACTGTTTATCCTTGGTTGAGTCCCAGCACTCAGACATGCTGTCACTGCTGTCAACATGTTAATGTGATGAGTTTGGCTCCTTCTACATGCTGTGGGTCCCTGGGGCCAACTCTGCCCTCTCCCTGCTCTGGTCTTGATTGTCAAGTCCAGAAACATCTTGATTCTAATTACACTTAATTTGCTCTAATGAGCAGAAGGCAGCTTGATGATGAGCAGGTCTCAGAGGGTCCAGGTCCCTTGGACTTGATTGTGATCTCATCCTTCCCACTACAACCAAAGCTCAGGAGCTTTTCCTAATAGGCTATGTTAAAGGTACCTTAAAATATACTTTCTAAACACTTGAAAGGTGCTTAACATTGGTATACATGGCCACTGAGTGCAGAATTATTGGCTGTCTTGGGGAGTTATGTTAAGGAAGGTAGGGCATCTCGTGTGGTGGAGCTGTTTCTTGACCTATATACTGGCAGCATGCAGAGAATCCCGAATTCAAATCTCTAGTTGTCTGCCCTTCTCAGCGTCCTTATTTGTTTACTTATCTTTTCAATGTTCACTGACCATGATTCATAATGCCACTAGCTCTGAACATTCAAATTCTGCTGTTATGCTCGAGTCCTCAATGAGTGAGGGTGTGGCCTCATGTATTGGATTTCACATGGGTCCTAGGGACCCAACACTTTTTTATAAATGACCTCTATATATCTGTGCAGAAGACAACAAGGAGGAGGCAGCAGCCAGGTTCACCCTAGATGTCCCTACAGTGATGACTATGTTGAGAGCACTGCTCTCATTCCCTCCCATTTCCTCCCTCCTCAATGGCTAACCCTGCTGCAAAGGAATGTGCTGTATTGGGTGGGCACAGCTGAGACCTCACTTTGGTAGACATTGTTCCCACCACAGGAGCAGCTGTACTTCTGGCAACTAAGCCCTGTAAGCAGAGGAAAAAATGAAGCTGTTCAAGAGGAAATGGCCTGGTGCCTCTTCTGAGCTGCCCAGCCCTGTGGCATTTGCTGTTAGGATCTCGTTTACCACTCAGATCATCCACAACTGCTTGGGGCTGTGAATGGATGGATTGCTCCTTCACAGATTATTGGTTAATTCTTACAGTCCCTCTGTATGTTTTGCGCCACTCCAAACACCAGTGCGTGGCTGTGTCCCAACTACATCGGCCCTGCAGTTCTCAGAATCGACCCAGAACAAGGCTAAGCATCAGGACTTCTCAGATTTGTTTATTCCATGTGACAAGATAAACATAAATGTTTAATGATGGAGTAAACACTACAAAAGAGACCATTTTGTTATTTCACTCAGTTTCTGTTATTAAAAGTTTTGTTTCTTTTTTATTATTTATTTGAGGAGCAAAGTGGTACAGAGAAAAACATGTTCCACATGGTGGTTCCCTCTGCAAACTGCTGCAACAAATCCAGAAGCCAGAAATACCACCCAGGTCTTTCACACAGGAGGCAGGAGTGCAAGAATTTGGGCCATCTTTGGTTGTTTTTTTTGACCCATGGGAGGGACCTGTTCAGAAGCAGAGCAGCAGGGACTTTCATTGGAACATATAAGGGATGCATGCATCCAGGCATCAGCTAAGATCACCATTTCTCTATTATCTCCTTTTTAATTTAAGATTTATTTATTTTTATTTGAAAGGCAGATGTACAGAGAGGAGAGACAGAGATGATGATCTTCTGTCTGGTGGTTCACTCCCCAAGCGGCCATAATGACGAGAATTGAGCCAATCCAAATCCAGGAGCTTCTTCTAGGTCTCCCATATGGGTGAAGAGTCCCAAAGCTTTGGGACATCCTCGACTGCTTTCCCAGGCCACAAGCAGGGAGCTGAATGGGAACTGGAGCCCCCGGGTTTAGAACTGGCATCCATATGGGATCCTGATTCATTCAAGGTGAGGACTTTAACAACTACGCTGTCATGCTCTATAATCTCCTTCTAATGAAGGCAATTGGAGAGTAAAGCTAGAGGTGGGAACTTTAATTTAATTCTCGTCTTTCAAATAAAGGTATTAATGAATAAATGTATTGATGAATAAAAAGCGTATAATTAGTATCATAAATAAAGTGCCTCCTGCAATTACATCTTTTTCTAGTGAAAGCAATGATACAGATGAGCATAGCTTCCATACAAGGACAGATTT